CCATCATTTGCAGTCTGTTTTCCTACCTAGCATCATTTTAAAATTAGGTGAATTAGGTCTCATGAGTGGAGTAGACAGTGTTCACTTGCGTCGGACCGAGAGTTTGTCGACCAGTGAGAAGATGGTTCCAAATCTGCCTCGTACCCGTCGATTGTGACATTGCGCAGTGTTTGACGTTTTAGCAAGAGCTAAAATCTTACATACTGGTGAAAAGTTGAACCGAAACTGATACGATCAAATAAGCTTATCTATCGAACAAAAGATCCTATGGTCAGTGCGCTAACTGGTGTGGAAATCTTTTGTTCACATTGGCTCTGTCAGTACTTCTACCCACCATTGGTTTTCTGCGTTCTACGCCTCAAATGATTTAACATCTTCGCTAAAAGTACTCAAGGCAAGAAAATTGCAGACTTCCTACAAAAATGAGTTACATTCTGAACTGTGAGTACTTCCAGCTTTGGCTATTTTTCGATTTCAGTACCAACTTATAATGCAAGGTTGAAGACTGTTGGAACGAGAGGCACAACACTCCACCCAACCTCCAAATTGACTAATTCGATTTTAGGCACTTTCTTAACCGAGGAAGTGAGCTATGTGTAGTGCAATGCCAACCCTGAAGCACCAGTAGACTGGAAGGAGGATCGGCTAATTATATTAATTTAAAACCGATTTTACAATTTGGCATCGAGTTAGTGAGACTCCATCTCAGCCAATTCTCAGGCACAGGCCTGCAATCTCTACTTCCTTTTAGGCATCTTTCTTTGCCTGGCACAGGCATTTCCTGATTCCTCCTCATCCTCCAGCCCTCTTCTGTCAAGAAAACGTGACCCTCACACCATTATTTCATTTTTTTTCGCATTTGACCCTTGTAATGACGACCTTAATCTGCTTGCTTAGCGGTCCATGCCGTCTCGAACCCGGAGGCTGCATATATCGCCAGCAGATGCTCTTTGTGCACCATCCTCTCACCTAGAACTTAAAGGGTCTCCTCGTTTTGACATCAACAGATACTTTCATTTTATTAATCAGTCTCACCACTTAAACTCTAAGTTCCGAACCTTGGGCTTTGAGTTGTGGTAGCTAAGGCAGTTTGCGGGAGCCATCACGCGAAGGTAGCCGGCGCTCTGCTCGCTGAGCTAAGTGAGTCACTCAGGCAGCGGCTCAACCCTTTACCCCCACTGACATAAAGGAAGAGGCACTTGCATAATATATGCATGACTTGCGATTAAAATTGAGTAATGCTTGCGGAAAAGAATGTGATAACCAACCCGGAACCGCCATTTTGCATGTGTCCATGCGAGCCGTAGCAAACAGTGACGACAAACAGCACCGAGTGCTCCAATAGGCAGAGACAACTCCAAGGCGCAGAAGCAAATCGAATTCACACTAACCACCAGAGATCGCCAAATGGCGTTGCCCAAAATCAGTTCGCGAGTGGAAATAATGGTGATAGACAGTGTTTAATTTGATTTTTTTACACTAATTCGTGTGAAGTGTAAAAGCAACTGTTGTTGTGAAGCCAAATAATACCGGAAAGTACATCATGGCACCTAGCACAAAGTGCGCAGTACCTGCCTACCTTAGACGCATAAAGTCTTTGGCGCAGTTCAGCCAAGAGGTCGATTAAATTTTGATGGCATCGTTGTTGTTAATACATCTCCCACCCAGCATGTGAAAATTTGCTGAATATTCAAACAAGCGTTTGCATTGGTATTAAAGTAACAAAAGCAAATTAAATGGATTATGAGCCAAATTTTAGTGCCTCGAAACACTTCTAATTTTGACGAATATTAATCACAAACAACTTTTGCAGCAAGCAAGGCTTTCATCCTTATCATCAGAGCTACATTTGTGCAACATCAAAGCAGACACTCAGAGAAGACCATTTTTTGTGTCGTGGAAACGAATACGATTCATTCATGCACTATTACCGGCTCCTGCGCAGTGACGCAATAAGTGCGCATGAGGAGGAGCTCGTCCGGCCATCAGTCTGTGCGACTTTCCTTTGTCTTGGCCATTTATCGCCGGCAGGTGAGAGCGACGGACTTCTAGTCAAAATTTTCCATTGATTTGCCTGAAAGAATACCAGCCCAGAACCTTATTGACTGTTTCGTTTATGGCAACGCTAATGTGACCATTACTTTTGAATTTTTACAGTATTTGAAATCAATATTGCCGGCACCCAAATCATTTTTAGACAAAATTAAACCTAAAACATTTATTTAAGGTTACGGTGATTGAGCTCTACCCTCAGAAGTGACCCGTCACAAGACGACTTATGAAATACCCCTATAAAGTGTAGGAAAACCTTTACTTTTCCAGAACAACTTAAATTTTATCGAATCTACTTTAGAGTGCAACAGAAACATGCAATGGGGAGAAGTGAATGGCAAAAAAACCAAGGAAACCGACTAACATCATGCTCATGCAATAAGGTTTAAAGCAACACCACACAAATCCTCCCCGAGTAATAAATAAGTCAAATGTGTAGAATGGTATAAACTCAAGTCTCCACTTTTACTTGCTACAGGTCGCCTCCTAATAACGAACTGATATTTTGTGCGGTGAATTAGTTTATTGTACGCAGAAGAGCTCTGTCTATGATAAAAAATCATACATATTTTTAAGCTACCATTTATTTAAACATAGCAACTCGTGTCAGTTAGCTACTTTCACCTTCACACTCATACCGGATCAAGTCATTCAGCACACGTGATTTTACTTTTGTTCTGCAAATTAAAAGTTCAGGTGGATCCGAAAAATGTGATTTAATTCGACTGATGTACTTGGACTGATCATCAATAGAATACGTACAAAGTGTATTTCAGCCGCGAACTCCAGGTAAATCAGTTTTACGTTACGCAATCGAAGTTACTCTGCTAAAATTATTATTAATTAATTTTTAAATTATGTCCGTAGTCTAAATACTATCGTCGAATCGAATTTATCATCCTCTAAGCTTACAAGTTGTTCTAACGTACACTATTTTTCAGCTAGTATTTATGAAATTTTGAACGATCTTTTAAAATTTATATATAATACTGAGTTATTTTGCATGTAGTGAAACTTGATAAAGCTGAATCAAGTGTCGAGTTTTCTAATCTGCCTTTTTTTAAATCAATCTCCTTTCTCCTCGCTTTGTTTTAGTTAGTTAGGTGTTGACGAAGCGTGTTTTGCGTGACGTGCTTTCCATTCGGTCGTGGTAGCTTGGTATGTGTCAGTCGTATGATGAAGCACTTGCCCTCTATGAAGAGTGATATTTTCCTTACATTCTGACCGCCACTATTGCCTATAAAATTTATTCTGATTTTTAGCTCCTTACAACGTGAACTGAATGCACTCGGTAACCCAACATCCTGTTGATGATTAGATCCTCTTGCTTGCTTAATAAATGCTGAGAAATACTCAATGATCCCGGATGTTCAAACACTGTTGTCATTTTAGATCTTGAGGCGGTAGGAGACACGGTCCTGCATCTCAATATAAGTGGCAGGTAAAACTCTTACTGGTTGAATGATTACTCTTCTCTTGGCTGTCTTAATCCTGCTGAATCTCTCAGAATGACGCTTCCTAGGATCATTTATTTTCTTGCAGTGCCTTTCTGACGCGATACTCAACTTAATTGCCGGTCGCCTTTCAATGTCAACGCAATTTTGTTTTCGGAGCTACTGTTTTGTTTTCGTGGTTTTTGTTTGGTTTACCCGTGGACATAAATGTGGCGTTGCCTCCCTTTTCCGATCTGATATGGAGTTCAGACGTAATGTCAACGGCTTTACTCCTTTAAGACGCTAATAGTCGAAGTTCAAATTGTTTCGGGGGTTTGCTGCGTTGCGTTCGCGCGCAGAGCTACATATTCATTGCCTGCGGGGGCGTAGATTGAGTGTTGGTGGAATTGACTGCTTGGAATCGGGAGGAGTGGGTAGTCGGAGAATCATTTACGCGGTGGATGGTTTAGCAGGTGCGGGTGTTGTTCTGGGGTGGGGTCTCATATGTCGTTCTTAGTGGTTTTTGGATATCCGTCGGGGAAGTTGCATTGCCAGCGCCACGCGTCGTCGCACATCTCGCGGAGGCCCTTCTCCGCCTTCCACCCGAGTTCTTTCTCTGCCAACGTCGTGTCCGCATAAGCCATAGCGATATCACCACCACGTCTAGCATCGAAACGGTACTTCACGGGTTTCCCTGATGCCTTCTCCATGGCCTTAATTAGTTCCATTACGGAGTATCCCTTCCCTGTACCGAGATTGAATGACTAATTGGAATAAGGGCAAATATGTTACGGCAAATTGAGCATGTCAGCCTAGAGCACTTTTCTCGGCTAAGATATAAACATATGGTGGGTAAAAAATAGGGTAACTGATTGCCACCAATTATTACCTTGCAACCTGTGAATTTGTTAAGGTATTTCACAGCCGAAACGTGCCCTTTGGCGAGATCCACCACGTGTATGTAATCTCGAATACCTGCAATAGGTAGGGGAATAATGCTGACTAACAGATATTCTTTGTTACCTTCCATTACCCCTTAAACAAGCGATCTTTGACTTGGATATTGACCATCGCTATCACATACACACTCATTGGGCTTACTACAGAAAATTGGCTCACAAATCATTTTTTAACTTGGTGTAGAAGAGTTCACGTGTTTCGGCGTGATCGCTCCAGTACTTTAATTGTCCACCTTACCTCAAATCATTCTGAATTAGAAGCGGAGTTGAGATTTACCAACGGACAAGCCCACAATTCCAAAACGTTACTCATATTTACTAGTGAAAGAGCCACTTAAAAATACGCAAGATTATTTTAGGAACAGTATCGAAGCAAACTGGAATATGGCCATTAACGCTGATTCTTTGGTAACCACTATTTAGACAGTTACAAAGGTATTGAGTTGCTCTAGAAGAACCACTGTCAGGGGTTTTAGGGGCGCCATGTATAGCTCTAGTATCCCAGACCATGACTTCATTGTGATAGGTGCTGGGACAGCACATCTTTGCATAATAGGGTAGCAATTCAGCTATAGCAATGACCGGGCATTTTGAGTGAATCTCTTTTGAGCAAAGAAGTTGCAAAGGGAGGAGGATTTGTTCAATAATCCCCATGAAGAGACTCTCAATTTCTACTTCTTTGACCAACAAGAGCGATTGCGTTCAGAAGTATCTGCGCCTTTTAAGATACCGAGCGATAAAGAAGCAACAGTAGCATTCATCGGTTCTCAACAATTCGATTGTTTGCCCTCATGGTCGAATACACTTTTGGAGGAAATAATGCAGTAGATAATTCGTCTACTGGTTCACAGCAATTTCCTCAACTTCCTTTTCTACTGCCCATGATGCATTTATGCGAAGTCATAATACCTGTCATTAAACAAAAGCGGGCAAAAAAAAAACTAGAAAAGGAAGCACGAAAGAAGTACCAGTGCCGTCTGGAGTATTGTAATCGTTGCCAAAGACGACGACCTCCCGCATACGACCATAGGCAGTTTTGGTGAGGCAGGGGAAGATGTTCTTCGGCGCAGGACCCGCGTCCTCCCCAATGAGACCCGACTTGTGCGCACCCACTGGGTTGAAGTAACGAAGATTGACTACAGACCACTCCGGGTCTGAATGGGTCAGATCCTGTTCAAAAGGCAAAGCACTCCATCGAACAACTGACCATAGTCATTTTGGTGTACTTATGAATGTAACGTGTCGATAGGAAGGTTGGTGAATGGTTAATGTGGCGTAGTCGGTAGCCAATTTAAGCTTTTTTAAATTCCCACATTCAGTGAATAATAGAGAAAGTATGAAACTACTAAAGTGACATAGACAATGGCAAAATGCGAGACATAAATAGAACCGCAACCATTGGTAAAACTCGGTCCCATGGTACGATTTCCAGAATGTGATGTTGCATCAGCAATGCGACAGTTGCGAAATGTGCCGTTCTTTCCTTCTACATATGAAATGTGGCACACGTCATGGGTAAAAAGTAGGTTGAATCCGTAATGAACATTCATACAGGTAGTCAAATTTGAAAAGAAAAATGTAAACAAATTGGGTGTCATGGTGCTAGACTTGTTTGAAAAGTACAGCAAAGGTTTGCCGAAGGCGGAAGTTTAGACTACAATCGTGAAAATAAGAGTGAAGACAGGTTCGGCTTCCATTTTATTAACAATAAGTGTCCGGTTATCAGTTCCCAAATAGGTGTTACTGTTGGCAAAAGCTGGTAGACCCAAGCAAACTGAACTTGATATGAATCGACACGACGACGGAGGGTCTGACTACTCACCTCAAGAATCATCTCTCCAATGTACTTAGTGCGTCCGTAAGGGTTGGCACAGTGACCCGTCGGTGCTTCCTCTGTCAGAGGCAGCTTCGAAGGATCTCCATAAACTGTGCAAGAGCTTGAGTAAACCAGTTTCTTCACGTTGTTCGCTACCATCACCTTCAAAAAAAGAAATAAATAGCTAGGTTTGACTTTAAGGGAGGAAATGTTTTAGCCTGCACGGAGTCTCTTGCCTCTCTCTGCGCATTTGAAATACTAATGGAAATTTGTTGTGAGGAACTTTTCAATTGAAAAGTTAAACTTTTTGGTACCAATTCCAATGAACAATGAATGATTCAAGGAAGAATATTTGGGAGGTTTGTCCCCACTCGGCCCTGCCTAAATCTATTCTAACACCAAATTTCGGTCAATAGGATAAAAGCTGGAATGCGGATTGTAAATGCACCTTCAAGCTAATCTCAAGCTTGAGGAAAAGAAAACATGCTCTGCAAGGGATTGAACGGGCAAAGATGCCTGAATAATGACGGACTTCACCTGCAGCAAATTGATGAAACCGGTGATGTTGTTTTGGTAGTACTCAAGGGGCATCTGTACTGACTCGCCTACGGCTTTGAGCGCGGCGAAGTGGATAACATAGTCGAACTTGAACTGAAAGACAGAAAGCAGGTACACAAATGCAAGCCGAACATGTGGTGGGTGGTGCTTACAAATTTAAATAAAAATTCGCCTCAAAAGAACCGTGAGCAATAATAATCTAAAAAGGTGGGTGTGGCAAGAAATGGTAGAGTGGCAACCTTACCGTCCCACTCGTGTCCAATCAATGTCCACCGACGCACACCGGAGTTCCCTAGTTCCTAAGCAACACCTTATATCTGCCCAAGTTGTGGAATGCTTAGGCGAGCTCATAGACAGCGACAATCACGCACAATACTTAATTACCAACTCGACAATTTGAAGATTGTAACACTGAGGTAATCACACAGCAAGCAAGCACTTCATGACTCCCTTTGGATGAGCTAAATATCGAACCTCCAGACACACAGGCATCGCGGAGCCAACTACAGGCTCAAACAGCATAAATAGGCAAAGAAGCTATAAGTCATAATCTAAAGTAGTAAGTAAATTTTTAGCTTGTTAAAAGCTTTGTCACATAGGGGCCGGTTATGATGTGAAGGTGGCAGCATGATATGGGCAATATCTGTCTCCTTTTTTCGTCAACACAAAGCAAACCACAAAAGTAGTTGCACGCTCATTTACGTTGTCTCTTTCAAACCTTGCTATTTCCCAAAGAAAACGACAAAACTTGCCACAAAAGTTAACTTTTGAACGTGGTTTAGGCCTACTTCGTGCAAGTACACTGTGCGAGATGCGTACAACCAAAATAATCACTAAGGTATCCATTTTGCACCAGGGAATGGAATGACCAAAGCAAGTTACTAAAAAACATACTACACTTAATTCCGTCACTAAATTTAGCACTTTATTCTTATATATAGCTTACCACAGAAGAGAAAAATTTGTGATAAAGTATCAAGAAGTGGACTGAAATTATTTCGATGGCAGACATGTTAACGTAGCAAGAAGCAAGGAAAGTGGTGAAAGATTTGAGCACTTGATGTGTAAGGAATATTTCCTGGTTCAGACATTGGGACAGAAAAAAATTGTCGACTTACCTCGTGAAAGAGGGCTGTGAGAGCATCCTTATCTAGGAGGTCGATGTTGCGCGTCTTTATTTTCTGACCGCACACCTTCTCGAGGTTCGCTATGCAACCTTGGCATGCGGGAGGAGACAAAAGGGAAATCAGGGTGAGACCGGTAGCGGCTAGCCCGCTGATATGAAACGGACTCTCATTGAGATTTAATGCCTCAATTATTCGACAAAGCCTTCATTAATGCCTTTGACAGTCATTTATGTGTGGAGAATAAAAGAAATCACATTTTCTACTGAAATATGGGAGGACGCATGCAATTGGTGTCAACAAACTGCCAACGAAATGTCAAAACCTAGTGGGTGCAATGGATTTCAACGTTAATCACGTTAGCAGTGTTGAGATAAAAGAACTTCAAGGGGTTATAGCGGATCTTTTCCTTCCTTTCAGGCTACAATAAACCCACTTCCCAAATTGCCTCATTGCGAATTTGTGGAGCAAGACATCTGGCTGCAGGAAATTTGCCAATAAACTAATGTCAGTGGATAAGAACTAATTTCCTCCAAGGCAACAACCTTGCCTAATACAAGCAAGCTTAATGGAATAAAAATGCAATTCACAGCATTAAAATTAACGAACAAATGTTTACATTTTGCAACAACAAATGACGGAAAATTTAAAAAAATACAACCAAAAAAGACGAGTGAAGCTACAAGCAATAAAAGTGAGGAGCCCGCACAATTCTACGCACAGTTAATTTGAGCAGAGGTATAGGCTTTAGATAAAAAATTTTAACAATAAATGCGACATGATAGTGTGAAACTAGGCTCGTTTAAATTTAAACGGAAAACCTGAAACCTACCTTTGCTAGCATTACAAAAGTTATCCAGAATGACAGTGTCATAACCGGCGTCGAGGAGCTCCACAATGGTGTGACTGCCAATGAAACCGGCACCGCCAGTAGTGAGGACGAGGGGTTTGTGATCAGTGTGGTGCATCACAAGTGCTGCAGTCGAAGAAGAAGAAGAAGAAAAGGACGATCCGATGAAGCTGACAGACAAGCTCTACCTCTCCGTACTCTGGTTATTGTATGCAGTCAAACCCGTGTTCAAGAGAGCACGCAGAAAGCTGATTGGCCACCAATGTCGCGCTTGTGTGCTGTGAAGTGGCAGTTGGTTCCACCACACCACGGAATATTCCGTCTTACGTTTATCGTAAATCAACAAACTATTCCTCCACCATTTGGCACAGAGATCATCCAAAAGGCCTAGTTTCTCCAGACCTCTGGCTCACCGAGGCACTACTTACCAGTAGTTCAACTCCTGTGGGGTTGATCTCCAATGAGTTAACAGTTATGAGGATCACTTATAACTGAAGCAACCAGCTTAAGCATATATAAAATCTTTTTCGATGAAATTGTGAGGTTGGCCAAACAAACGATCAGGCGCAAAGTCCGTGACAAGTGAGGAAGTAGTATTTTGGTATTCTGGAAGTGTATAAACAAGGCAGCCCGATGTTAAGACACAGAGAACGATTATGTAAGCGGCAAAGTCTCCCGTTGTGTAGCACCCTAATACTTTTATAAGATGAATGCACAAAGAAGTGGTGTAAAAAGTCGCCACTTGGTCAATCATTAGAAATAGACTGAGGTAACGAATGATGAAGCGAAACTGAATGAAAGTAAACCCGGAAAGTACGAACATCAATAAAAATAGTAAATAGTTTTAAATGCGAACAGCCACTTTATGAACCCATCATTATTGAGATGAGACTCGACTACAAAAAATGATAATTCAACCGACATGCCCCGCAATTTTGCTATGTCAAATGATGAGTTAAAGGAGAGGAGATTCCCGAGGTGCCTCTAAGTCTTCATGGCCCTAGAGGCTTTAAATTGACTGCTCATTAAGTAGCAGCACCATTACAACCGAAATGGGTGAAATTCAACAATGATTATGAGGTAAAATCCATAATTCCGTGCCTACTTGATCCTCGAAAACGTAAAATGATTTCAAACTAACTCCAGTGTTGAAGCACACTGAACATCGCCAATGTTGAGACACACACGAAAACAAAGACGGAGGCATATATTAGTAGCATGAAACCATGGCAACGACACCATCTCAGCCAAGCTAGTCAAACCGGCGAAAAAACCCCACAACGCCGATGAGTGCAAACTACGCAGCAGGTGCAGCCAAACCATGGCAACTAAATGCCATTTCAGTCACGCCTTCAAAACGAGCAACAAGAAAGACAAGTATCATACATTACTAAAATAGACTTCACAGCAAAATGGTACATCGTGAATAACGGAAGTGCTCCAATGGATGGATAGAAAAACGAGCCACTCAACGATCTTTGGCCTCCTCGACCTCCTGCCTGTCAACTCTGGATTTAGAATCCTCGGAGTCACCACTCTCGAGGTCATCATCCTCATCAGCAGCTTCTCCATCGGTGTCTTCATCTACTTCCTCCTCTTCTTGTTCCTGTTCCTGTACAGCCTCATCTTCGTCCTCCGAAAGCAAAGAATTCGGTCGCTGCGTAAGAGATAAATAGGTGTTACTAACACTACAATGGGTAGCAAAATAATGGCAAACGTCACCAGGGCGACACACATTGGCAGTGGCCACAATAACAGGAGTGGAAGCATCAGCGAAAGGAGAAGCTTTAGAGACAAGTGGGGAACGTGATCGAGCCCGCAAATCAGCAGTTGCGGCGTCTTCCCTTGGAGAAATGCCCTTGAGGGCTCCGTAAGACCCCTTTTGATTGCATACTACGGCTGACTTAGCTGTGCCTCCGGTGGAGGATGATGAAGTTTTGTCACTTCGATTTACATGACCTTTGGCCTGGTGCTGCTTCTGAGTTGCCTCCCCATTTGATCGACTCTCACTGCTCTACAAATTTGAAAGAATGTCAACGAGTTAGGTTCCAATTCAGTAGCCAGATCTTATTTGTGTGTGTCTAACAGTTCAGTGAAATACTTGATAACCACATAATCTTTTATTCTTTGAGCAATGCCTTGTTCAGATCTACTGCTGGCGACGAGACAGGGAAGCCAAAGGGCGATGATAGAAGCAAAAAAAATGCACTTCTCATCCTTTACTAAACCGGTTGTTTTACTGATGGATGCTAATCGGTTTAGTCAAGATCTTATAAAAAGATGGAGTATACAAGTCCAGACCTTAACCATAGAATAAGTTAAAAGCAAAGAGGGATCTAACTTCGCTTTGCAGTTTCTCCGTTAGAATGTTGGTCAAGTAATCCTTAATAGGACGGCCAGGAGGATTCCAATTGGTATAAAACTGACCACATCGACGCGAAAGCAATCGCAGAGCACGCCAGGTCCACTCCTCACGATTGATACACCTATTGAAAGGGAGATGAAGCTAATAAATCATATAGATTGTCGACAAGGAAAGCATAGCAGAACGTCGGACCCACTTATATTGCTCTTCCACCTTTTCTTGTGGATCCAACTCAAGAATGGCGTCCTGAAAGTAAGTCTGTAGATCAGGAGGTTGGAAAACGCGTCGTTTGTCCCGACAAGCCTCCAAATTGTCTGGACATGCAGACCACAGTTCGTCCAAATCGCTATTTCCAAATCGATACAATCTCCTGCCGGATCGATCTTGTAGAGGGTTCGTCCTGCGTTTCCTTTTGAGAAGAAGAGGAGGTTTTATCCGTCAGCTCGAATTTTGAAACCCCAAACCATTCCTCTTGCTGCTAGAGTACCCACCGTGGAACGAGGACCGACTTCTCGGGTTCCCTAATGAAGGAAGGACAACCTTGGTTCTTCCAATGGTTCCAATGAGCCTCACGATACAGAATATGTTCCACCACGGTCTCTGTAACATCGGAGGGAGAAGCAGCATCTCTATGTAAAAGCTCAACAATCGCTTCCTGCTGGGTTTGCATCCACTGTAGCTGTTCTTCGTTCAGACGCTGACTCTCACTTACGAAAAAAAAAACACCGTTGCAACATCGTCATCAGGGATTGTTCAATGTATATAAAATGTAATTCTAGCAACAATTCACAGATTCCTCAAATGACTTCCTTAGAGCTTTGACACGGAATCGACCTAACATTGTAAGTGCAGCAAAAACCCATCTTTTTAATTACAATAATCTTAAAAAGCAAACCCAAAAAAATTTTAAACGACTTTCGACTCGTAATTGATGTACAAATAGCTGAAAATGATTGACGCTCTGCGCAGAAAATTCAACTTATCTGCAGCTTCTTGCCACGGGATCATTCTCAAAGTTTCAACATCAGCGAAGGCCCATTGCAGTAGTAAGTACAGTATATACATTCAACCAAGTTAACGAGAAAAGAATGGCAATATTGAAGTACCGCTGCGGTGTAAAACTAATATTTCATAAAATATACAATGAAACAAGGCAAGAAGCTTGAATAAGTGATTTTCATAGCATTGAAACCAAACGTGTAGAGCGGCGAGCCCCTATTTATTAACCTTTTCAGACACAAATCTACAAGCGAGAAATGGATGCACCAACACCGTGGAAAATTCAAGGCCAATTTTTATCTCAATCGGGTTGGTTACTAAAAGCCTCCACAAGGAAGTGAAGCTGACATTATATCTATCACACAAACCTTGCAAATGGCAAAATCAAAACTAAGAGAATGACTAAGTAAAAGTTAGTGTTCTGAAAGTTCACTAGGGAAAAAGATCTGAAATGGGAGGGAACAACGATGGCTAAATACATTTTTAAAAAGAGTAAACAATGGAGAATGCAAGAAGTGGTAGCATAAGATTCGAGTAGAAAAGTTGATTAAGTCATAACGGTACAAGAGAGAACTGCATTCAACGCATAAAACAAATATTAAAGGAAAATAAAGGCTAAATTTCAGCACTTACTTCTTGAACTTCACCTGTGCAGTGAGGTATTGGAAGATAATGACCAACTGGGTAAGGATGTACCTACGGAAACTTCGATCCATGAGCTGCAAATCTATAAGCTGAAGGCAAATCCAATCGTTGCGATAAGTCAAGATAGCAATCGTAAAAAAAACGAAACAATTGATATCGGTAGAGGTACCTTCTCACTGGTCAGGTACATGGTAAACTGATGCCAAGGCGCCTCACTCCCGCATCCAGTTGTTAGTCGAATGCTCTGAAAGGTGGAAACGACACATTCGGTGCACTCTACAAAGGCCTTCCACCCTTCCGAAGTATAGCAGTGGGCAGGTGCCTTCAATAGCTCCTGAAGTCGCCAGAAACGGCGGTATAGGTCAGCATTGACTAGGGTGCTAGGATTAACTGCGCTTCCCGCATCGTCTCCGTCATCCCTATCAGCGCCTGTCTCGGTGGTGAGAGAGTGGAAAAGGCTCTCGTCGGGGTCCTGGTTGAAAGCTACTTCTTTCTCCAAGTTGAAGTTAGAGGTGAAGTTGAGACCAGACTTTTCGTTTAATGGAAAAAGACTGGTGAGGAAGAGCTGGATACGACCACAGAAGACAGTGTTCTGAGACTTGGACAAACGGCGAAGCAGATCATTGCACATTCGGAGTAGCGTGTTTCGCCCTGAACCGAATAGTGAAGCCTAAGAAATCGAGTGAAAAAGCTGGAGAAGCGAATTAAGCAGAATACCAGGAACTATAACTGACGAGTGGAGTAAGAACACTGTAAAGAACATTGGCTAAAAACATCAAGGCACTCGAAAAAAATAAGCGCCCATGATTAGCCAAAAGGAGAGGACACATACCAAAGCAGTAGTGATTGGCAGATAGAAAAACATTGTGAGTAAAATCAGGTCCTTAAATAAGAACGCGTTCTAAGTTTGTGAAGGCAATAGAAGTGGTGAAGCCGATAAGTTCAGGTTGAGATTAGGAATATTTACAAAAAAACAATGCCTAATTGAGGATAAATATCGTTCGCTGAAAGTCGGGAAACCTATTAACTTAACAAATATTGTGATAACTTCATATGACTGCCGGATAAATACGCACATTCGACCTTCGGATAAATGAGGCCAAATCAGTAGTGTAGGAACGTTCAAAGTTGCATTGATGAAAGAGTAAACTCCTTAATGAACCGCAAAAACATCAAAACCAAAGAATATGCTAAGGAAAACTAGCCTGGTCGCCTGCTTAGGTGAGTATGCAGATGAGGAAAAAGGGACCAGTTAACTTAAGTAGAATTGATTATCTCTGAGCGCAAATAGACAGGCGCGAAAATGAAACGCATAGCAACAGACAAATAAAGTTTTGAATGATAGAACCAGTTTAGCAAGAGAGGAACAAGTCATTTTTACGATTAACACTTAGACAAAGGTAATGAATAGTGAACCAACATCGTTGCTTACTACGGAAATCGAAAGTGGAAAACATCCTCCCAAGGAGACCAAGATGGCAATCGGAGAAGTAATTCAACAAGAGTATAGAATATGAGTTGCTCTTGAATGAAGATTGAAACAGTGTAAAAGCCTGATTAAATGCAAAAAACGTTCCAGAAGAGGCCAAAAACCTACTCAAAGAACAGTGCAACAGAAGAGCAGTACCGCAATTATATGTCTCAAAGCATAATCTTTTGAATATACAAGACAGAATCATCCATACATCCTTAAGCGCCTTGATTGTCTCTTCCAGAAAGTGGAAGTTGGCCTCGGCCTCAGCGATGGGTTTGGTGTTGACGAGATCAGCGAAGAGAAGGAAAGGCGTGGAAGCAGAACAGACGCTCTCCACGGCAGCTGAAGCAGCTAGTCTAAGTAAAGCGCGTACCTCCGCCATCGAATCGCTCCCGCTGAGCAGAGAGAGCGTACGTTCACGAAATGCCAGATCCATAACTGATTTTGTCTGGTCCGGAGCGAGTTTAATCGACTCACTGAGTGACTTGAGACTCTGAAGGGTAATCTTGGAGGGGTGTTCACCTAAGAAGTCCTAAGCGATGAGAATAAAAAGCAGATGCAATAACTCACGGTAACCGCCTTGAGTGAAGTGACAAATTCTTCTGTCATTGTTGGTTTGGATCGAAACAGCCCTTAAGCAAAATATCGTAGGAAATGTAAAAACGAAGTGAAAAACAGATCTTAAGATTTAAAACAATCAAGTTCAAAGCACCAGTTGAAAATTAAGTTAAAAGAAAATTTTGAAATAAAGGTGTGGCAACGAAGCCATGAAGGTTACACATGAACCAGAAGGGATTCCCATTATTATGCTGATGTAAAAGAAGTAAGATCATGAAGATTCCAGATAAGACTAAAATTTTTATGCATCGTAAGGGAGCAGTAAAGTAGTGAGAAAAGAATGTACACTAATGATGTTGAAACAGCACGAAAACCCGCACCGACCGATGCAAGGCGCACACCACACCAACTCGGAATTGATTAACCAGACTTCGGCGAATCACTGCTAGATGAGTAACGAATCAACGGCGCTGATAATGGCGAAAATGGTAACGAAAAGTAATCATACATATGGACATAACTACATGTGGTTATAGTCATTGTAGAATAGACACAAACACTTAAAACTGAAGAAATCAACGCTAAACAACTGTAATACAAGTGTTATAAAAGATCCAACATCACGGATAAATTAATGCTTCGCAGTGGCAAACTACGTTGAAAATCAGAGTGATCACGCAAAATTTCAGATTAGATACACGAAAAAGAATTATCGCCTAAGAGAATGGTAAACTTTAGAAAACAGCGAGTTCAAAACACTGTGTTTGGAATCATGTGACACCTTGTTTATTAGACTGCCTGCACGAATAGTAATCACTATGTCGATTATCTTGCACCTGCCATATAAGCTTAGCCATTGGGGCGGGCCATAGTTCCTCTTCCACTTAGTCAGCTTTATTTTCGTCCACTACCTAATAATAAAGCTTGAGATGTTATAATCCACGTAATGCATGAGTTAGTTTATCATTCCGAAACTCCCCACCAAGTAGAAGAGATCGTTGAGTTAAGCTGCGTTCATATTATAGCATTCTGGTATTAGGTATGTGAAAGAAGGTATTAGGTATTGCGTTCTAGCAGGAGAAAAGGAATCACGTCCGAGCTTATTCCAAATGCTAGTTCACGGGTACAATGGTCAGGCGAATCTTAAGGTGGTCACATAAACAAAGTAGTAGAATATAGGCCAAGGGAACAAGAAGAGGCTGAAAAGTTAAAGTTCAATGCAGCCGCCAGGTATTAGGCGATCGCATTAATAAATTATTACAAAGGCACTAAGTGGAGTAATTTAAATGTACTTTGAAGATAAAAGGGAGAGATTAAAATCTGAGCCATTTTCAAAGTTAGCTTACGCGTATAGGAGCAATATCGAAGAGCTTGCCATGTATAGAGATACACTTCATGTTTAACGACACGATTACAGAGGTCCCAACTGAAGCCCAGATTTAGCTAAGATTCTCCCTTCGCCCTATGTGCTCAACTTCACATAATGTGTAAAAAGTAAGGCAAAAATCACGGAAAGTCTGTCAAAATATACCCCTCTCTGTTTATTGGACCCTTCACCTTGAGTTTCTCAGACGAGGGTTCAATCTGTGTGACTCTGAGGGGCATACGGAGCATAACGTCTTAAAACTTTTCAGTAGACTAATGAAGGCAAGGAAGAAGTATGTTTTTGGTTTGCCTCGAATGCTAGTACATGCAGTTAAGAGAGGAAGAATTCCAAAGTGGCTAGATGGCATGCATGTAGTCACATTGCAATGTATTACGCTAAGAGGATGCAGTCTAAATCGAAGAACAGAACTCAGATTTTGTGCACACAATCCTCCAGCACAGTCTTCCGAGTAAAAGCCCGCCAATCACCTCCAGAACGCTTTTAAAATATTCAATATAAATTACAAATTTGAAGCACTATTCAGAGGTATTTGACGCCGAAGCTATAGTCAAAGTACTATTCTCCTGTTCAACAGCCAACAATGGTGCTTTTTCAATTCCTTCCGAATTCCTCTCCCGTCTCATCTCCTTCCTCCCCCTGGCGTTGATTATCCAGAGGAACTACATCCCTTCGAGACAAGCCTTGCACATCCCCTTCAACATGTTTACCCCTTTCCTTTTTCTCCTCCATCCCCTCATATGCAAGCATTGCACACTCGCCTATCCATCTATCCATTCACTTACTTATTCATACATTCACCTATTGATTTACGCGTTCACTCGTCTCACTACTACTACCTTGTCTAATCGGCGGCATCAACAGCCGCATGTCTTGAATGTGCAGTCTCGTGGTTGGCACTGACAGCTCCCTTTCAAACGCTGGCGCAATCGGTGCCACCAATCGCTCAGCCAAATCGATTACCCACAATTTGCCGACGACGTCTACGATGACCGCTTCAACCAACTTCCTTCATTATCTGCTCTAATTCTTGCTCGCATATATTGTACTCCTTTATCGTGAATTTCAGTCGCACTACCTCTCTACGGTCCGGAACCTAATCATTTTCTCATCCCTTTTTTTTGAAGGCAAGTGCTGACCCACTTACACCACCAATACTAATCACTTGTAGGTTGCCGCAGCAGTCGGGAGAGAAGCGTCCGTCACAACGCAGTTTAGACAAATGAAAAAGAAGGGGATGGAGAAGAGTAAGAAAAGGAAGGGGAGATGGTGGAGAGGTTGACAGAGGCACCTGATACGGAGTTCGTTGAGTCCCAAAAGCCATTCACTTTCAACGCACCTAGAAGCGTCTTGCATGGCTCATAAGGTCGTGGAGAATGGAGGATGAGAGCGTTGATACAAGCTGGGGGGTTACTATTATTCCCAGCTACTACGAATGCGAAGAGGTCGTGCGATCAGCAGCAGGAGAAGGCAGTAGAGCGTGTGAATGATGCAGCAAAATGTTGCGGCCGGAAGGGAAGATGGTAGGAAGCGAAGAGGCATTCGAAGAAGGAGGTCAAGGACGAGGCTCTGAGTGGGGCATAGAGGAGGAGGTGTAAAGAGGGCTGATGCACCGTATGGATGGGAGCAGTCCCTTTCATGGCAAGAGGAGGACGCAGTAACGCCGTGGAGGGAGGTGGTGGTGGGTACTCACCACATTTGTCGCCAATATGTGCGGACGCCCTCGCCAATCTCAACACCATCGGCGTCGCCAGCACCGCCACCGTTTTACCGGCTCGAGCCTAATACTGCTTTGAGGTAATGTACCGTTTCCATTGCAGGTGGTTGCTGTTGCTGGTGCTAGGAGTGAGGCTTTGGCTGTGATACATTCACCAACGAGGTGTTAGCAAGACTAAGTGTAGGAGGAGGACGAGCATGGGGAGAGCAGAGAAGGAGGATACGAAGAGGAGACCACGAGATAGGTGTAGTATTGAGTGAAAACAACTCCAATTCTTCTTCTTCCTCCTCAATTATTACCTCTTCTTGTATTCTTCCCTTCATGCCTTGTAGCGTGCAAGAATGCGGTGCTGGTCGACTGGGGGTTCGCCAATGGTCGTGAGTGGCGGATGTGTGCGTGGGGTGAGAGTGCATCACCTTTCACTTCCCTTCTTTCTCCTTTCTTCAATTCTCCCTCACTTCCTTCTTCCTTCGGCTACCACTGTCTCCCTCTCTCTCTCCTCATTCACACCACTTCCTTCCATTTCTCCCACTTCCTCCTCTTATTCGCCATCGCCTTCCTCTTCCATTTGCATTGGTCGGGAATTTTGACTATTTCATGGCTTTCAACACTTCCCCCAACCACTCCTCTCTCCGTGACCGTGGACACGCTTCTAGACAACGCGGCGACCAAATTGAGCAACTGTTCTAGCCCAATTAATCTTGTTTCAAACCTCTACGACAATTGACTCCTCTCCTCTCCGGGTTCTCCCGCTCTTCTTCTTCTCTTCTTTATACCAAATGGCTATCTCTCTGAACTGCTTTGTGGCAGCTGCCTCTACCTCGACAACTTAATGCCCCAACCCCTTGTAGATTTGCTTCCACGTTAATAAATACGGTGTTGTTACTATTGACAGCACCTTCCCTCCGTCATTAACAGGGTGGATGTGTGATCCAGCAGCAAGGCCTCATAAAAGACGCGATCCTTGATGGGTGTGCGCACCACAGTCCGAGAAGGGGTACCTTCATCATCGTCCCTTTCTTCTTCATTGATTTCTTCACAATTTAATGACCCACGCACCGCAAAATATATGCTCTCCCGATTTGTTCGAACAACACCAGCACTTCTTGTCGTTGTTGCGTTTTTTTCCAAGATCATAAATGGATTTCATTTGTCTTAGCCTCCATACGATTTCTCAATGGTCTCCTCCCTCACTTCCCACGTCTACAGCAATTCTTTGCGAATCTGTAATGGTATTTGATATTGGTGCATACTTTCATCTTTCCTCTGAGCCTTCCTCTGGAATTTTTTTATAGTGGATAATCTCCATGCTGATTTTACAAAACTTTAATGACTGCCTTTTCAATAGATGTCAAGTGTGTGTAATGTCAGATCTACTACTATTGCCGGCGTCTTCTTCATCTCCTTTTCGCCTTGCACCCACTAGGAATATTTCTACATTTGACATACCTGTTACGCAGCCCTTCTTTTTTAAGCACTGTCCTCGGTCCTAGCAGTTCAAAGTTTTGTTTTGGTCATTTATTGGCTTTTGCTCCACTGCCAACGGCTACACTTCATTTGTCAGCTGACTGGAGGAAGGTAAATAAGGGATAGAAGAGCTCAATGGCTCCCTATATGGGACAGCAATTTGCCATGATGGACATTTACTGGATGGTTGTGTTGTTTTGCATTTCGAACAATAGTTCTGTGTGTGAGTAGTTTAACTACGCTGTAGGCAGCCTTGTTGCAGGTGTTCAATAACGGCTGGTGGGTTCTCGGTGTAAAGTTTCGCCTTGCATACTTGCATTAAGTCCCCTTTCTTAAAGGCATCGCTTTGGACCTGTGTATCTTTTGTCATGAGTGTGCCTTCTGCAGCTGTTTCCGTATCGTATTTCTTGCTGAGTAGTGCGTGTAATTCCGTGCTATGCGGTAAATGAGAGCAGAGGTCACCAACATTGGTCATGACGACACGCCATTAGTCATTGCGTCGAAGAAGGCGTTGCAGATGTCGCCTAAATCGGTCTCAGAGTGTGAGACAAACCTGCTTACTTCCTCAGCTTTAGTCTTTAGCCTAATTTTTATGGCCACCTCGACAACCCATGGATTCGAGAGCCCTATAAGTTCATTGTGACTTGCCTAAACTTCCTATTTTGTTAAATAGAGTATCTATTTTGATTGAATCCATGCATTCGGGGAGAAAGAAGAGGGGGAGCCCTGACATGTCCGAAGGGCCAACTTACCTAAATAAGAGCATGACTAGAGGAATACACTACACTTTCTCAGCAGCTTTGATTCAATCAAAACTTAAGTTCAGAATCAGAATTCTAATAAAAACGAAATAAAACAATTTTTTGCGTGGTTAAGTATGTAAGCTAATGGCAGTGCCAAAATCAATATGCAGACGTAGCAAGGGAGATTGCGAAACTAAACTCCAATGTGCTGTTTAAGCTGATGTTGTTTTAGTTGTTAATAACTTTCTGGTGCCCAGCGCCCGATACTTCTTACAAGAGAGAAGATATTTAGTCGGGTTGTGTAGTTACTGCCTGTCAACCCTCTGGTCCCTGGTTCTCAGACTTTAAGAGGAAGATGGTTGTAGACGATTTATTAGGCATCGCTGTAGGAAGGATGGGGAATAAGATACAGATGCGGTGAGTAGGAGATATCAATCACAGGAAGGCTCCTCGCCGACCACGCGCACGTGATCCACGTTCCCGATTGCTTTCCGCCTCTCACCTATAAAAGTCCACTTAAACAAGCCAGAATATATTAAAGGTTAAATGTATGCATTCTAGGAGGAGGAGCATTAAGATGCCTGAACAATACAATAAACATTACCAGGGTAACAGCTACACATATAGATTGTAGAGTTCCGAGATTGCTTACGTGAATAAAGAGGGCAGCACATTGAGCTAAGTACATGCATTTTATGAATGGAAAAGTTAACAGCTAAGATCGACTATAAAGTAACTGCAAGCAAAGTAGTTCGACAATGCAACCATAATTGAGATAATGCAATGTACAGTATAAAATGCTCATAAGGCCGCAGTTGGTAGCGAAATAAACTTTAAGAAAGACTTTCTGGCAGAGGGAAAATCCATTTGCTTTTTGTTGTATTTTATTCCATCTTAGCTGCAAAATCGATGCTTTTGCAATGACCCAATAAGCGGCGGACGCTGCAGCGCTTCTGTTAAATAATTCCTAGGGCGATCCCGACTGGTCGGCCTTTTGTTGGCGTTGATGTTTTGTGTTTTTGCGTTTCTTACACTCTTGCATACCGTTTGCTTCGCAAATGAGAAGAATGTCTTAGTTCATGTCCACACACTGTTCCGTCATGGCGATCGAACCTCAGTTACGCCGTATCTTTTTGATGGATATGATCCCTTTAAGGTATGGCCCGACGGACTAGGCCAACTGACTCAAGAGGGCATCGAACAGCTATTCCTTTTGGGAAAGTGGCTGAGAAACAAATATAGCTCCTTTATCGACCGCAACTACAATGTCTCTACTTTTCGCATGCGTAGTTCAGACTTGGACCGTTCTTTGATGTCGGCAGAAGCGATGATGGCTGGCTTTTTCCACCGATCAAATTCTTCACTCAGTAAATATGGACTGCATTGGCGCCCTATTCCAACTCACACAGTGCCAACAGTAGGCTAGACCTTAGTTTTCGTTCAAATCATGAAATCTTTATTTCTTTACTGGTGCTCTTGATTTTCTGGGGACCATTGGATCAGGTTAATTAATTAAACATGTGGACATAGTTATCTTACTTTTATTTATTTGTAGACAACAGACACATTATTATCATTTCAACCATGCCCGCGCATGGCTCAACGGAGGGAGGAGTTGCTTCAATCAAAGGAGGGTATTGATTTATTTAAGCAGCATAAAAAGACAATTGACCATGTGGGGACTTCCTATGGAATTAAAAACATCACTTTGATTGATATATGGGGAATCGCTGATGACCTCTTCTGCCTACGATCACACAATGCCTCTCTCCCGAAATGGTGCACGCAAGACGTGTTCCAAGAACTAGACACGATAACAAACAAACTTTTTAGGGTGAGTCAGTGCATAGCATTATGAGCGTATACTTTCTGCTTATTTTTTCATTAGCGATGCATTATCAACTAGTTACGTCTTTGGAAAGTTCGATTGGCTAAAAAAATATCTACTTTACTATGGTTTTTGAATCTTTACGTCTATTTGCCGCTAATGAGTAAAGGCAAGCGTTTGTTCCTCTGGCCTTTATTCTTTCAGCACTTCCTTACGTCTACCGTAACAACTTTCTGTAAGCTCAGAGAGACTTTGCTTACAATCATCATTTATAATAAGATTGACTAGCACTCGAGCAAAAAAATGTATTAAGTAGATGAAACGTGTGTGCTTACACGAGGCATTGGATTGTTCTAACGGCAGATCTAATTTAAAAGTTGACTAATGTATGATAGTCCCTATTGGAAAAGATTTGGTATCATGGAGAACTAACGGTTTAGTGAGATCACTGACTTTGATTGTAGTTGGCTGAAAGACCTCAAGGTAAAAGGCCAATTAATTATCGTTGGTCTGGACAACGCACCCATAAATTTACTAGCCTTTTTAAATTTTGTATGACTACCTGCAAATTCGCTCATCAGGTACCTTCATCTAAAAGTAGGCTTTTTGGAAATCACGAGTACTAACCGGTTAGCTTTCATCTTGTGGTTTGCTTTTCTGCGGTCATATTTGTGGTAAAATGGTTTTAATCAAATGATTTCGTCCATTTTTAAGCTAATTTGTAGTTACGCTGGTGGTGTTCGCATTTTAAGCACAATTAATCCACCTATTTAAGCTGAATTTTTATTCCTGATTTCGTTCGTTCCACTGATGAACAACTTTGTACTTAAGCTAAGTTGTTTGATAGCTTTTGTAACAGTGCAGTCGTGTTTGTTTCTTTGCATCCTACAAAACATCCTTTTCATAGGAAGATGTATGCATTGGTTTGGTACCTTTCTCAAGCTGAGTTTCCCTTACCAGATTAGTCCACTTAATATCTCGCAATCTGTTTCATTTATAAATGTTTTTTTAATCTACGGCCACAATGTACAAGCAACATCACGATACCCGCACCTAGGTTGAAATTTCAACTTAATTTTCTTTTTCTTTAATTTTCCACCAAATTTGCAGAACGATAAATATTTTTCGTACTATTGATTACGCCATGGGTTAACAACTTTTGTCCTCTTTTTTCCACTACGTTAGTTGCTCTATACTGATCAGGAGATCCTCAAACTAGCCGTAGGCGTATTTCTGAAGGATACGTTTGACCGGATGGACGAGTACATTCACAAAAACACATCTGAATTCTCTTCATTGGAGAGCTTTCTTGCTTACTCTGCGCACGATACGAATGTCGCACCACTGCTCAACGCACTAGGCGCCTATGCTGACTGGGACAGGCCACAATATGCCGCTCTCATCGCAATGGAACTCTTGGCTCCCCGAACCGATGCCCTTCCTAACGGTGGTCATCTATTGCGACTGTATTACAAGCGTGGGTGGAAAGACGAGACAGGCTCATACGTGCCATTCAATGCGTGTCGCGACCGTGAAGCGAAGGAAGGCTGCGCTTTCGCACTGGTGCGCGAATCGATAGCGTCGTTATTGCTGTCAACTGAGGAGATTGAAGAGGCTTGTAAGGCAGAGTGGCTGCCCTCAAGATATCGGCTGATTGTGGCGATCACTCTTTCTACATTCCTTGCCATACTTTTCTTTACTCTTGGGGCCGTCCACTGCGTGGTCTGGAGGCAGCGCTGCTGGCAGCGTAATCAACGAGGAAATAACTTTGGAGGTGCTAGCCAGTTGCCCTATTCACCACTTGTTTCGTCGCCCCCCACTGCATAATGCTGTTTTCGCCTCGTGTGTGTCCTCTCTTTAACCCGATGAAAAGTGTTGTTGCAAGTGCTTTTTTTACCATGCCACTTTTCACTCGTCCGTCTGCGTCATTTTAACATTTTTCCTGTGATGTCTTTTCACTCGCAATTGAAGGAATCATGCAGATGTTTTTG